AAGGGAAATTACCAGCTATGTCCATTTATAAGTTGCTCATTACAAAAATTGGTCAATTGATAAAATATTACTAATATTAGCCAATTAGCTATTTGTAGCAAAAAAATATCAAATTTTTGCTTTGTTTTGAGTGGGTGTTATTAGAATAGATTGGGCACAACTTAAGGAGCTTGAATCTCAGTTTTGGGATGATTTGGTGAAGTTTTGAGGTGGTTTGAACTGAAAATTCGAAGTAAAAGCTGAACATGAAAAAAAATGATATGTGTATCACATTGTGTATCATTTGTGTATCATATATGTATCATATTTGTATCAATTGTGTATCACATGTATATCCATGTATACCTATGTGTGTGATACATGTGTGATACATGTTTGATACACTTGTCGCAGAAGACTTTTTTGAACTCGATTTAATTATGAATTTTGATACAAAACCAGTCCAAATCACCTCCAATCTTCCTCAAATTTTGTATATTGACTTATCTATATATTTTCAGTGAATTTCAACTATAACCATTGAAAAAGTTCCTTTTTTGTTTAGATTTTGGAATATTGTATAGATTTTTGTATTTCATCACCTTATTTGCTACCCCGTCCATGAATTTCCTTTACGTCTTTTATCTAATGTTGCTAATCACGCTTAAAAATATGGAAGGTGATTTTTGCATGTGATTCTTTGAGAGAAAGAATCCTATTATTTGGTTTTTCAATTTTTGTTGGCTAGTTTTGGTAAGTCTATGACTAATGGCTAGAGGTTGGTAAGTTGAGATTTATTAGGGACATTTGTGTAAGTTTCCCATTTGTTAATTGCAAATTGCTACTAGAATCTCGCGAAATTTTCTTTAATGTTGGCTAATTATGTTTTTTCCTCTATTTTCAATTATTGGCCCAGCACAACTTTCTCAAACCCATTTCTAGGTGCAAGTGCACAGATGGCCATTTTTAAGGATACTATTTAGAGATTAGCCAGTACTTATTTTGTCCTGTAATTTTAATCTAAAAATCTTAATTTCAAGACAATTCAGAATACTTTTGTCCTGAAAAACTGAAATTCAGGATGCACTAGCTAATTCCTAAATAGCAGGACTTTAAAGTGGCTACCTGGTGTCATTTCTACCCATTTCTATTATCATTAGTATAAAGGAAAAGTGAGAACAACTATGAATACACATGCATATCATCCATCTTCAGTACTGTTTGGTTGTTAATGGTGTCTTTGATCATGCATAATCTATCGTATGTGTCACAAAGATTGAATTATGTCCATTCCACATTAATAAGTGAAGGCTCATTGAAGTCCTATACTATGTATATTCAGGAACAGGGCTATCAAATTACTACAGTTAAACATTTATGTCCAATCGCTACGTACATAACACGATATCACATTTAGTCAAATATAAAACAGAATACTCTTTTAGTAGTTCGTAAATGGTGCACAAGCATGAAATATATGTATTAATCTATTTTGCAAAATCAAGTACTACAAAACACAACCATGTAACAAATAAATTAAATTCTAAATGAAAATTCACAGTTTCCCCTCCACCAACAAAAGGTTTTAGTTCAAGATTCATCCACATCACGAATTCGGACATTTAATCTTCTAAGCCAAATAGAATGGAGAATCATATGAAAAACATCATATCTTTTAGGAGGAGAATTAACCTCAAAATGCTTCCTGATTTGAATACCTCTCTTCTGCATTTCTAAATACTTCTCTTGAGGAATATCCAATAGAATTTTCTTGAGGTTAGGAATATCCTTAACAGGAATTATAACAGAAAATGTATTCCAATTTAGGACATCACTAAAAGGGATAACATAATTATCCTTAATGAGGACAGGAACACATCCCATATAAATTCCTTCAACCATTCTTGGACTTGCAACTTCATATCCACTTGGGCATATACAATATTTGCTCTTTTTTATCATATCATAATATGAAATACCCTTTGGAAGGTATTTATGAATTTGAACATCTTTATCCTTATTTTCCCAATGTTGTAAAAGAATTGGCCTAATTGGACCATGAAGTCCTCCGGCGAAAAATACCAGAACCGGCCGTTCCGACGGCGGCGGACCGCCTAAAAGGCCTTCAGTTGTGCCATAAGGGAGGTGGATTTCTGGAATTGGGACATCTTTTGTTGGATTAAATTTTTCTGAGGTATTGGCATTGCATAGAGCTCTAATTGAGTTCTTGTACAAGTATGGGATAGCAAAAGAAATTTCAGGCCCCTGTATATTAATAATTCAACCAACAATTAGACACTATAATAAAAAATATATTATGACGGTTTATAGAGAGCCCTTGTATAACAACGTATAAAGAATATTACATGTAACGATGTACCTAGATAATTCACTCAATTATTTAAACTAAAAATAGCTGGCGCGGATAGTATATTTAAGTGTATAACTGTGTGTATATCAGTGTATAATTCTTGTATACCTGTTAAAAAAAATAAACAGTGAATCCGGCTGGTTATCAGCATAAAGTATTTCTAGTCTATTAGGCTAATAGCTAACCAAGTGTTCCTATGTATTACAAATTGTTCAAAAGTTCAACCGAGTGATATAATATTTGGAAATTTTCAATGTGTATTTTATTTTTAATAACATTACTAGAGCTGCCTGTGTTTCAAATTTACGAGTTTCAATCATTATTTTGAATTACCTATTCAACTGAGGAAGAGTGGCAGAGTATGGACGACAACCATGCAAGAAATGAGTTTGAACTGAAATTAGTCCATCTATTCTTTCTTTCTTTTTTAAAAAGACATGACACTATTTGGAGAGTCAAACTAAAGCTTTAACTATGGTTTTAGGTACTTTTTAAGTATTTTTAACTATTTTAAAATGATGTACAAATTTATCTCGAAATAATGTTGTCTCTTGTGCTTCGAATCTAGTTATTTTTCTTTTTTCGGGCAGACTAAAGGGGAGCCTGATGCATAAGGCATTCGGGAAGCGTTGCACCCTAAGGGGTGTGACAGACAGCTTACCCTATAATACAAGTATTAGTGGCTGCTTCCACAACTCGAACCAGTGACCTACAGGTTTCATGGAGACAACTTTACCGTTGCTCCAAAACTCTCCTTCCATTAAATTATATACACTGATAATGTAAAAAAGAGTCGGGAATACGTACCCAATCATGACAAGCAAGGATGAAATGATCAGCTCCAAGGCTTCGATTCCAATAAGGATACTTGTTGGAAATGACATTGACATAGTCAAGCGCAGTGTTTTTCATAAGACCCCATTCATGAGAATCACGCACATAAATGAATTGTGTTAACATTGTAACACTCATAGGGAGGAAATACACATGAGCTTTGTTTGGATCTGAAGTTCTGAATTTGCTGATTTCCATTGCATGAATGAAGTAACCCTCAATAGCATATGTATGTTTACATGGACCAAAATGAAATACTGGGGGTTCCCCTTCTTTATACACATACACCTTGAATTTTTTTTCCATTTCCAAGTAACTCCTGCACTTGAAGAAATGACCAATCTAAGTCATATATACTGCAATTCCATTTTTTTACATTACCGTGTAATAGAGGCGGATTCAGAATTTAAACACTGTGGGTTCAATATTTAATATTCTTAGTATTGAACCTATTGTATTTATAAACTAATGGGTTCAGACCCACCATGTGTTGCAAACTCTGGGTCAAAAAGTACTGGATTCAAATGAACCCAATACTATCACACTACATACGCCTCTGCCGTGTAATTTGACATGTTATAATAAGCTAGTTATCATTTTTATTATGTTATCAACTAATGCTTATGATAGAAATTTGTCTGTAATTATCTTATAAGCGACTTGATTATTGACTGTTTTTACATTGAGAGTACGTATGATTCAAACTCATTGTAGGTTTGGAGTTCCATAAATAAAAATCGAAGTTGTTTGAGTGTTAATAAAAGTATGAAAAGGAATAAATAAAACAGTAGATATCAAGTGATGTTGTAACAATGCTGATAATCTAAATGTTGATAAAATCCCTATTATGTTATTTAACGTTAGAAGATATTATGTGATCGCCATAGTAGGTAAATAGCTCCTGCATTTTAAGAATTTAGGAATGAAATTTTTCTATCTTTTTTCCCTAGTCAGAAGCTGATACTTTCCTTCATATTCCTATATTTCATTTCTTCTTCTTCCCACCTAACATTCTCTTTATATTAATTATAAATTTAATATTGTGCCAAGAGAGGATGAGTCAATAACTTTCTTATTGTATTTGATACTTGGTGATTTTCGTCGTCAAAGTATAGATCCATATTAGCCACCTTTCAGGCACTATTAATTTGCACATAAGCTTCCTGTAGTCAGCCGAAAATAAATGAATGATACCTTTCACGACTAGAAAGCAACTATAAAGTTTCCTAAAAAGAATTTCAAGACTCGTAGTCTTATCCCCATTTTTTCCCTCCGGTACCCATATTGAAGCCCGACTAAATTTGGATTCACACCGAGATGCCCCATATTGAGGAGTAATGCGCTCTCTAACAAAGGCGATTCCATAGCCACGGCTCGAACCCGAGACCGCTGATTAAAGATGAAGGAGTACTTTTTAGTAAAAAGAATCTCATGACTCTAGTCTTATCCCTACTTCTTTTTTTGGTTTCTCACCCTATGTCCTGTACCCATGATCTTATCCCACTTACTTTGTCGACTTATATTCGTATATTTTTTTAATTAAGGTTTTCAAAATTGGAGGAAAAACATAGAGCTCCTTTGGCTTGGCTGATTGAAATAAGCTTCTGAATCTATTTTTACAAATAAGAACTTGCATACTTAAATAGAAGTGTTCAAACTCATATAATCAATAAAATTAACTAGTAGTCAATTAATATATATATATATATATATATATATATATATATATATATATATATATATATCGACCACCAAAGATTGCGGTAGAATGGATATATAGAATCAATCCATCCTTAACCAGAAGTCTCGATCGAGCTTTAAGAATGGAAAAATTACTGATAGGGAGCACATCCTCCTTTTAATTAGTTTATACAGCATGAATCGGAATTAGTCGGGGTCCAACATAAATACTAAACATTGGGCGGAAACAAAAAAACTTGCAGTGAATTGTATGTATGTTCTTACCTGTGGAAGGCAGTAGCATTTAAGTACATAGGACCATGAGGTATATACTCATCTTCTGTCTGATTATTCCAATTTTTGTTCTCTTTTAATATTGCAGCTCGAGCTTTTGCAAGACCTGCTTCCAATTTCTCTAATTTGCTGCATCTTTTTTGTGCTACTGAGCTAAAAGTAACATTTGGGGCATCATCCTTCTGATTTACCTAATAATTAGGTTAACAATAAATAAATGAGCAATATTAGCACATGGTAAGTATTTATGATAACATCAAGTCATAAACTTCTAATACCATACAACGTGATCATGGTCCATTAAAATTTTAAGATTATTGTAATCCTAAAGAGTATGTATCTAATAATGATTTTAAACGAGTATGGTCATGAAATATGATATGAATGATCAAGAAACCTGTGGAAATTTTTGAAGAATGACAACATGGAGTATTAGCGAGGCAGCTATATAGGGTCGAAATACACATCAAGATTAATTTGGGTAATGCTGAGTTTTTCTTTTTTGGTTGAGTTACCCACTCGGTTTCTGTTATCCGCACTGGAGTGTGACTAAATTTGAATTCGCGCCGGGTAACTCTTAAGGAGGAACCATTCTCTAATAGAATTTTTTCATGTCCATGGCTCGAACCCAAAACCTTTCGTTAAGGGTGGAGGGATCCTATCCATTTCAACACAACCCATATTGGTAATGCTGAGCTTTCGCTCCAAGGTTTTTACATCAATCTAAAAATATAAACAAATTAAGATAATGAGAAAACCAGTTCCAAGTTATGCACCACACTTTTCCTCTTTGGAATGATATTTACATAACAATGTTTCCGCAATATTCTTCAGTCTAATATGCCAACTATTGCCAAGTAAAACTTGTGTGAGGCCCTTATTCAGTGACATCTAGAATTTGTGGGCCCATTTTTTTCTAATATTTTCTCCTTCGATGTGTTTCTTCGGTCAGAGCAAATGCTCCTCACACTTTCTCTTTCTTTATTCTTCCTTTTTACTTAACACTTCATCTTCCCCTCGCAACAGATGTATGCGATGGGTCTGTGACTGTTAGCTCCACATTTCATACACTACTTGTGTATCTTTATTTTAATTGGGGCCTCGAGAGTCTCTCTCGCCCAGTCCTGGGATTCTTTAGGAAACTTAACCCAGATGAAAAATCTCCATGACTGTCAAGATTGAGAAACAGAGTACCAAAGAGAGACGACCCCTTCCATTACAGCAAGAAGATGTTTGCTTGGAGAAAAATCTGATTTTTTTTACTCTAGTTCTCTGTAAAAATGAAGTCAAAATTCAAAAAATATACCTCTGCAAATACTCTACCAATCTTATTTGAATTTTTTTTTCAAAGGTATTTTTTTTAATGGCTTTTCACCATTTTCCTGGAGAAAAAGATGAGAAAAGAGGTTTGAGGAATTTGAACAAGAAAGATAGCGATAAAGGGAGAAAATATACTTCTTCTTTTTAAAAATATTTTATGGGTTTAATTTGACTTTCGAGTCGCTTTGAAAAATAATCAATTGCTTGAGAGAAGAATAGAAAACGAATTAGAAACATGAAATTCTGGTGAATGGAAATATATTGAGTTAAGAGAGTTGCAGAAATTTGGAAGAGAAGAGTGTAATAGGGGCCGGAGGTGGCCAATTTTTGCTGGAAGTGGGACCCAAAATCCACTTGGCAAATATTTAAAAGAGCTATTGTCTGCCACGTAATAATTGGGTCTCGTACACAATAAAATTTTTCAGAATATTGGCGATGAACTGTGCAGGCCACGGGCGGATATAATATTCTAGCTAGTGACTCATAACTTTCTTATATGTAAAAATTAATTAAAATTACAAAAATAATAGATATGAATCCATAACTTCAAAAATATATGAGTTCAACCTTAAAAACCTTAAAAATTACACCCATAGAGTTTAAATCCTATCTTTTAGGTGATGTAGGGGAATTGAGGAATTAACATAAGTAAGAAAAGTGAGTATCTTTTTCTTATGCATAATGTTTCATCATTATACAAAAACTCACCAGTGTTGAAGTTGAAGAACCATTGTTGAGAGTCCGTAAATAGTGAGAAAAGGGTAGCCAATTATAAATGGAAGCTTGTGGACCAGTGACAACAACAAAACCAGCGACCAAAAGCAATGGCAAAATAAACCATAAAAGCTTTAAAGAAGTTGACGACCATGCCATTATTCTTCTTTTTCTTCTTCTTCTTTGCCTTTCTGTTCTTACTTTTTCTCTTTTACTTTTCTTCTTCGTTTGATGATTTTGTTAGAGTTTCTGTGAAAGAGATTAATGAATGAATGAATGAAGGGAAAAAAGGCAAAGTTTGGCTTTGGTGTCATGTGGAATTTCTCATGCAAAAATGGTAACAAGTTGTAATTTTAATTTGACTAATTGATTCCTTACCATTTTATTGTGCAATGGATATCTTCCTTTAATATTGTCCTACCGCTCAAATTATAGTAATTCCTCCATCTCTTTTAATATACTCTAAATTTTGTGTTTTACCTTTACGAAAAGTGCAGGAAAGAGAACCCCGGAAGAGAACTCTAAATTTTTCACGAAAAATTTTGTATATGTTATAAATAGAATTTTATTTATGGTGAATGTCTATATTTAGAGAGATTCTAGGGTTTATTACTTGGTGGCTAAGTCACCATCTCCCTATAATAGAGGGTTCTATTCCATTGTAATTCATCCCAAATCAATAAGAATTCTCTCCCTCTACTTTTCTTTGCAATACTCTTCTTCTTCTTTTATTGTTTATAACACATTATCAGCACGAAACTCTAACCAATTAAGTAGAAGCTTTGGGATTGAGCATAATGATTGTCAATTATTCCATGAATTTCCTTCATGATTAAATTCTGGATTTAAGGTAAGTATTTTACCGTATTTTTCTCTTTTATTCTATACTTTGATTTTAAATACAAGCAAAGATAACAAAGTTTGATTATAACTCTAATGGAGTTTGTAAGAAATTATAACCACCTGAAGTGGTAAAATTTCTATGCCTTGCCATGATCAAATTCATGTATGATTGTGGGCAAAGAATTGAAAACTCGTCCCATTGAATTTGCTCCATTCTCATTCCTTAAGAGAATGTGATAGCAGTATGTGATAAATCTGAAAGAAGACAAAATTATTACTATGAATGTATCAATGGATATGGACTTGGCAATAGACGAAATTATAATCGTCATCATTTGTGGTAATGAGAACAATAAGGATTCTCAAAATAATCTTTCACTCTGTGAAAAATATTTGTCATCGATTTGTCATGAGATTTTGTAAAGCACATATAGATGATTATGGTCCATTCATGATGTAAATGTGACAACATCTCATTTATGAATACATATTCATTCTTCAAAGAATATGAATGTGCTAGTGGTAGTGAATATACCGCACTCACCTCTAAAAGGAGGTTTGAGATGATATAAGAAAATAATGTCATTATTATGGCATGAATGGTCATTGGTCACGTACCTATTGTACGCCAAAATATTTTGGCATTGTGATTGTTAAAAGACAACAGTAATGCAAGAAACAGATCTTGCATATAATTTTGACCATAACCATAATGGTATAACTTTCTCTTTAAAAGAGATATTCACCATATGGATGTTGATGAATATGTGGTAGTACCAAATTAATTGAGAGCTCTAGAAGAGCCAATTATTACTATTTTGGAGAAACACAATTGATTACCAATAAGGTATTGTGTTGTAGTAAGTCTCAAAGAAACTTATTCGGTTTCCAAAGTATACGCGAAAGCGGTTGATCATATTGAGACTATAAATAAAGGAAAGATTTAATATCTTCTATTACTACAACTTGTAGCTGGGTAATATGTATGTGAAAAGCTACCCGCTTTATTCTCCAGTTTGTACTACACAAATAAAAGAATACCACAATAAAGTGGATATTTATTGATATAAAAACTCATATCATAATAAACTTGGAGTTTATTGATAATTGCACACGTCATGGCGTAAATCTGAAGTTTATCAATATTGATAATTTATTCAGTTGGCATAATTGGTTTACCCATATTAATTTAAGTATGATGTGCAAAAAATAAAAGAGAATTCACATGGGTAAACATTAAAGAACGAGAAAGTTCTTTACGAATTCTTTTATGTTGCATGTTCTCATTAATTAATATACCAACTAAAATTGGGATTGAATCTCATGAATGCTGAAAATATCAAAGGTGAATATGGGCCCATTCACCTGCCATGTATACCACATAAGATGCATCTATGATATGGTTACATGTACGATTATTATTAACCAGCAACATGGTGTTTGCGAGGTAACTTTTCAATAATTTAATTTCGAGCATAATTTCCAGATTTTTTTTTCAAGAAGTTCATCTTGATAAGTTGGTTTACATCACAGTTGGTTTAGCAAAATGATTTATTAAGTGCCTCTACTTAATAGCTAAACAATTGCTTATGAGAACAAAATTATCTATATCAGTTTGATATACGTTATATACCAAAGTATATTATTTTCTCCCCTCACAAGTGGTTCAGGGTCAGGAACCAAATAATCAATCTTATTATTATTGATGTGCGGTGTATATTTTAATTAACACCATAACGCACAAAGATGAGTTCTTAAAGTTGAGGAAACAAGTTAGTTTTTCTAACATGAGGGGGAGACATGATAAACAGTTGAGAAAAAGTTACGTGGAATGAATTATCATGTGTACATCTAGATCCTCGAATAAAATAATATGAACTTGAAGTTCATAAAAGGATAATTCATGTGCAATATATTTCAAAGCATGCCAGACGCATTTGCTGACCCAAAGAAAGTAACTATATTCTCATTGCAAATGCTCTTATTAAGTCCTAGAAGGGCAACGTCTATGGTACGCTTAAAGCATATAGACAAATCGGTTTCAAATAAACTTCTTAATATAGAAGATGAGCAAATGATCAAAATGATCATAATAAGGAGGCAAGTGATCTAGAAGATCACATGACATAACACTTCATAAAATCTCAGGAGAGATTCAGGTACCTGAAAATATGAATGAAGAGATCTCTATGCCATGTCTTTATGAAAATAAAGCTGGAACCGATATAAAATATTTGTCGACGACATCTATGTTAGCGCTAAGTATAGATGAGGATCTTAGGTATGTCGAATATAGACACAAAAATACTGGCCAAATGAAAGAGACACAATTCGAATAGAATTTGTTTCAACGAAAAACATATAGTTTTGGACCTTCAGTTCAAACACTTGAAAGTATGAAGCCAATGATATGTGCAATCAGTTTTCGATATCTTATCTGTCTAGCATGACATGAAAACTAAATATGCATCTAATTAAAGTCTATTATATGACTTATATGACAATCCTTGAAGGATTTAAATCGCTTGAAGCATATACAATTCTTGATCTTGAAGTACCACTTCCTCAGTGCAATTTGTGCACAAATGTATCTTGTTATAACTATAAGCATGATAATATGATAGCAAGAGTTTTCACCTCTATGTGAAGATATTGAACTGGCGATTCCAACAAGATCATATGAAGATAACTCATCTCTATCAAAAATGATGATTTCAAGGTGCAATATATTCATTCAAGTTAATATGGCTGATTTGTTCATCAAATCTCTACCAAAGATCTTTTGAAGATGCTGCACAAGATTGGAATGCAAATGCTTAAAGATGTGAATTGATGCTGTCATCAGGGGGAGTTAATACGCGTTGTACTCTTTTTCCCTTACAAGGTTTTGTCCCACTGGGTTTTCCTTGCAAGGTTTTTAACGAGGCAACCAAAAGGCGTATTGTTAGATATGTGTACTCTTTTTCCTTTTCTAGAATTTTTTTTCCCACTGGGTTTTATTTTAGTTAAGGTTTTAACGAGGCACATTATCTGTTGAATAGACATTCAAGGGGGAGTGTTATAAATAGAATTTTATTTATGGTGAATGTCTATATTTAGAGAGATTCTAGGATTTATTACTTGGTGGCTAAGTCACCATCTCCCTATAAATAGAGGGTTCTATTCCATTGTAATTCATCCCAAATCAGTAAGAATTCTCTCCCTATACTTTTCTCTACAATACTCTTCTTCTTCTTTTATTGTTTTATAACAGTATTTTGCTTAGCCCAATTTGTTTATTTATTTTTTCGTTCGGGCAAAGATCACTTTTAGCCTACGGCCAAAATTATTTAAATATAGTCGTAAAAGTATATAAAATTTATATAATTTTTATATATAACATATATATATATATATATATATATATATATATAAAGTATATTTTTCGGCTATTATTTTGAGAGCAGCTATACAAGTGTTATATTTTTACCTATATATACTACATTATAAACTTATTTACCCTCACTATTTAGGTTTTAACTTAATTACAAGTTGATATACAATTTACCAGTTATATACAAATAAGTTTTTAAATAAGTATTCTTGATTGTAGCCTTTTAATGTGGAAATCAAATTCCACATATCTACCACTTCCACAGATATCTCTCTCTCTCTCCTCTCTCTCCTTTCTCTCTTTATTTTCTTTTTTCTACCCGACTTCTTCTTCTTTGGACCTCTATGATTCTTTCTTCATCTTCTTCTTTTTTTTGGGAAAATTCCCAGGGAAACCCGCAGCCACTGCCCTTCGGGTGCGCATTGGGTAACCTGCTCACTGTGCATTAGCTCGCAAACCACACAGGAAATGTAAACCGCACTAGGCACTCCTGGTGCTACGAGCTCTGACTGAGGAGGCTGCTGGTGAGGAGAATCGATCATAGGTCTCCCATATGGAAAACCACTCACTGAACCAACTTAGCCAACCCTTGCGGGCTAAACAATCGGGAATATTCTTTTTTCTCGTCTCCTTTTTATTTATTTATTCTTGAGAGAATTCAATAATATATTTGATGTCGTCACTTATTACAATCGAACTAGTCGTTATCCGTTGCCCCGCCAGCCATTGAAAGCTATTAAAAGCTTCGAAACTTTGATTTTGAATTCGATTTTTTAATTATTATTTGGGTGTTATTGAAAACAATCGGGAATATTCGTTGGAGTTTATATCGCAATTTTGAGGGTGTTTGTTGAAGATTAAAGTTGATTTTGGATTCATCTACAGATTGGAACTCGAAGATGAAGAAGATGTATTAAAGTTGTATTATAATTGTATGTAAAAAATTGTAGTTAAGTTGTGTTCGATTGTGTATAGGTCCGAATTTGACCGACCACAGCCGTAGCGAATACAACCAGCAACCCAAAACCTACGAGTCGGCATAG